TGCAATTTAAAACCATTTTTATACAGACAATTCTTCGCATTTAGCATGAAACTTATGAGAACTGAAATCAGAACTTTGGTTGCCCTTTCATAATTTACTCACTCGGCTTTAATGAAATAATGAACGATGTTTGTTTACATAACGAGACCTCTTAAATGACAAACAACAACGGGCAGAAACAACAACAACGAAGGAAAAAAAAAATCATTTTTATGGTCTCATCCGATAAAAGCGATTTTCCCTTTTTTGTTGGCTTCATTTACTTTGTTACAGATCAGGACGAGGGGTCAGATGGACAAAATGGGAGGATTGGCACTGACCGCTTACATTGTTGCCGCTGTTTGGCTCATTTGTGATAATTTTATAGATATTGTAAACTAAAGCACCAACTGATGGCCGTTTTGTATGCGTAACAAATGGCAAACAGCCAAGAACAACAATAAAAAAGTGCACACACCACGCCCACACACTCGCTATTTTAAGCTCTGCTCCGTGCTCCCTGCTCCCTGCTCCTTGCACCCTGCTCCCTGCCCAGTGTTCGTAACCATTATGCCCATCAATCCCTCAAGCTACCACATTGTATTGTAAGGAGATAGAACGAGGAAGGAAGGAGAGGCATGCAGGCAAACGAACAGGAGAAACACAAAAAATGCTACGCGGTTCTCTTTAAAAAATTTGTTGCCGCTTTTATACTCGGCTCTTTTTGCTGCTTGTCTTCACAGCTGTTGTTCTTATTCCTATTTCACCTGCCGGCGCTTGGTTTTCCTTTAAATACTTCCTTTCCTTTTTACTATTCGAACAACCCATTTGAACTGCAAGTGCAAACTTTGCTTACTTCAAAAGAAGCCAAAGTAGCGAAGCAGCTTGAAGGTTTAGTTTTTCAGTTTTCGTATAAGTAAAATGGAAACTGTAGTTATAAATAAATTCAATTGCTAACGAGATAGGTTAACTAAAGATTCTAAAATTAGAATTTAATTTTAAATATATATTTTTAAGAATTCATTCATCACTTGGACAATGTTTTTAGCTTACATCTGATTATTGTTGTTATATGTTTCAAATTGGCTTATGATTTTATATTTAAATGTAATTACAACTGTATTTTAATGCTGTGAAATGTGACTTAAAAAAAGAAGTAGCCTCGGGAACATAAAATAAGTTTTTCTTTTGCATTTAATGGACAAACTTAATTTAACTATATGCTTTTCCAGCACACTGTCTGCTCTTGTCTGGATTAAAGCCATGACACCATCCTAATACGCATTCAGTGGAAAATATATGTAAGTACGTAGATACATACATAATATTATGTGAATGGCAGGGAGCTAAGGACTTTGATGATGGCAGCCAATGGGCGAGGGCTAAGAAACAGCAAATCGTTGTTAATGGCAATTTGAGCAGTCAAACGAGGCGACAGTTTGGCTGCAACCGGAGCCGGAGCCGGAGTCGGAGTTTCTACACTGTGATTGTCAACATATATTGGCAAGAAAAAAAAAAAGAAAAAAGCGCAAAATATTGCAAAATGTTGCAAAATATTTTCAATTCAAGCGAAACTTAATGAACGAGCGCCAAAGAGAGAACGTGAGAGCGAAATTAGGCAGACAAGTGAAATTAACTGTGCTTTGCTGCTTTGCTGCTTTGCCTGTTGATAAACCGTTGTAAGCCGCCAATTACACACATTCACACCCGCACATACACACACACACACACACAACCATCTTCATTGATAATGACTACACACATCATACAGGCTAAGCCTTAAGAGTCCTTACACTTATGTGGGTCTCGCATTTTGCAGCGTATTGTTCATCATTTGCTGCTGCTGCTGCTGCTGCTGGTTGTTCATCACTTGTAGAACAGTTTTTAAATTAAATTTACAGAAAATACTGACAGCGCGGGTCTGGCATCTGTACCCAAAATAATTTATGCGTATTTCCAGCTAACGTACACTCAAACACACATATTCATTCAAAAAGGCTTTTAACCCAAAAAAAAATTGTGTTGACCACATAACTGGATTGCGGAAAGAATTCTACTTTCCAATTATAATTATACACTGATCCCATCAAAGTGGAAAAAACAAGGGTATAATGAAGTTGTGAAAAGGTATGTAACAAGCATGTTTCGACCCCATAAAGTATTTATATTCTTGATTAGCAACAACAGCAGCCTCGACTTAAACATGTATGTCCGTCTGCATGAACCAGCCGGTGTCAGAGACTATAAGAGCTAAAGATATCAAATTTGGTACATATTTTCTCATTTAAAGAGACTTGTAATTTCCTGCATTATTGAGAAACTGTAAAAACTTCATTTGGATCGGATAGGAAAATCAGATATTGGCAAATCAAACGTATTTTCGTATTGAACAAACTGCTAGTGGAGCTGTTGCGACAAGATCATTCTAACATGTTTTATAAAGCCATTGTTCTTAGGTGATAACCCTTTGAGATATGGGAATTTAAGTGGTTAGGGCAAAATCTCAATTACTTTATGTTAAAAGGCTGAATTCGGTTTTACTTTGGCATTCAGCACAGCTCAAACTGCTCAAACAGCTCAATTCAATTCACTTAGCTATATAAAAGCAGCAGAAGGGCCAAATAATTCAATTCCTATTTAAAACATGTATTTTTGTCGTTTGCCTTTCGTCATTGCGTTAGTAACAATTTTTACAGAAATGCAAAGTGGTGATGGAAAAAATGCGCAAAACGAACACCTAAACAAAGGTCTATTGACACGTTTAGCGACGCAAACGAGAAACCATTAAAGCAAAAAAATATAAGAAAAGATAAAAACAACAACTTAAGTCGCCCAGGGCATGACATATATAAAGGCGCTGACGAGACGAGACGAGACGAGAGAAGAGAGAGGACAGGGGAGGAGCATGAGGTGGCAAAGTGACATAGTTCGACTCGTGGGCGACAATAGCGATGCGTTTGCCGTCAGGTTGAACAGCTGGAAAATCCATACAAATTGTCATGCATCAATATGAGATGCGAGAAATTGCCGACAAATTATTGATGAGCGCAGCTTAGCTGGCGACATTTTGTGTCCCTTATCCTGAGCGTAATGCAGCAGTAACAACAATAGAATGCTTGCAAAATGCCAAGTGTTAATCAGATGGTAGGACATGATTGATAGAATGCATAGTAATATCTGTATATGGTGATATAGTGATACACGTGAGGCATGAGGCATGAGGCATGCGGCATGCGGCACAAGACTGTTGTTTCTGCTCTTGTATTATATATGACGAGTTTTTATTTAAGTGCTGCCTGTGAACGTTTCGCACTTGTAATTGCATAATAAAGTGCTGCAAAGTGACGGTCGTGATTTGATGAATACGGGCAAACACTTTCAGCATGCTGCAACACATAATACAGTTACGCACGAAAAAAAAAAAAAATTAAAAGACAGAAAGACTACAAACAAGAGTGGGAGAGTGAGCGAGACAGAGAGAGAGAGAGAGAGAGAGTAAGACTAAAAAAAAAAAAGGCTTGCTCGTTAAAACCCCGTGTGAAGCTGTTCCAATTTGGTCTAAAGCCAAACCAAGTACTTCTCCGCGTTCCCCTCCACCCACACCCATACTATAACACACTTCCACACTCCACTCATCGAGCTTTTATTGTTTCCCATTTAAGCATCTCTTGAATGTTACGAGCGCTCCATAAAAAAAAGGAGAAAAAAAAAAAAACAACGAAAACGGTGATAAAGCAGAAAGACCCAAGCAGATCCTTCTACAACATATGGCTGCCATATACCATCTGAAGTGGTGGCAAGGGGATGTGTTCGTTCCACTGTTGTTGGTAGGTGTGCTTAGGTCTGTATTTACGTATGTACACATATGTCTGTATGTATATCGGCTGTTGGGTAAGGCATAACTTGAGGCGCCGTTTAACTGCAATGCATGTTGGCTTTTTTAATGGCCCATATATGTATGTACATATAGCATACATATGTACATGTATTTTCAAATATATGGCTTATATGCCAACTCATACACAGTTGGCTTTTTTTTTATTTGTTGGCTGTTGGCTGTTAGCTGTTGGTTATATAGCCGGCAGCCTTATTAACCCATTTGCCAACCAGCTAATTTGCGCGTAAAAGTCAACCTCACAGCTTTACTGATATGTGCACAACTTTTTTTTAATGGCAAGGCAATGGATTAGTTTCGCTTTGTTTACGGCTTTAAACTACTATTAAAAACATGTACGTATTTCGTCAAAAACAAATTAAGATATTTTTCATACACTTCATTAAAGTTGTTCTTCAATTTGGTTTTTCACAAATATTTATATTTGCCGGCGACTACTAACTACATTTTCCATTTATTGATTTCAAAAGTCCGAAATCAAAAATAATAAAAATAAAAATTATTACAGATTAGCTGTGTCCAATGTCAATATATTTTCGAATACGAATAAGCCAAGACAAGCCCAATTCAAATCAATAAAATCCAAGGTTAAAACATTGTATAAGACACGCAGTGTATTTAATAAAGCTCAAGTAAAAACAAATAAATATTTTGGTATTATATGTAAAAAAAAGAAAATTCAATTTTAACTGGCACTAACCATAGCAAAAGTTGCGCTGAGTTGCGAAAAGAAGTGAGCTACAATTTGTGGGACCCTTAGCCAATGGGCTATTATCACTAGCCGGGCTGAACGAGCAGATAAGAGCAAAGAACTAAAAAACAAAAACAAAAAATAATCAAGCCCCCAAGAGCCGGTTCAGATCAGCACAGTGAACCCGAAAAGCGCGAGAACAGCTGTTGTTGCTTTGAGGTGGCCTGTTCCACAGCACAGAGCAGTGAGCGAGCGACACGTCATGTCACAGCGCAGAATGAGGAAGAGAAAGAAGGAAAGAGAGAATGAGAGAAAGAGGTAGAGATAGAGATAGCAGCGTCATGAGGCGAAAGAGCTGTTGAGAGAGCGCCTTGTACCATTGATAAACAGCGCCAGCGCTTGTATAAATAGAATGCTCAGCACCGGCATCGATTGATTCGTTCACTCATTCAATGATGGAGCGCTGGCAGAATCGGGTTGCTGTCGTAACTGGCGCCAGTTCGGGCATTGGTGCTGCTTGCGCCAAGCTACTGGTTGCGGCCGGTCTACAAGTTGTTGGCCTCGCCCGGCGCACCGACCGCCTCGAGCAGCTGCGTCAATCACTGCCCGCTGATCAGCAGAAGCGTTTCCATCAGCACGCCTGCGATGTTTCCGCGGAGGCGCAGGTAAACAGCGCCTTTGAGTGGATCGAACAGAAGCTGGGCGGCATCGATGTGCTAATTAACAATGCGGGCATCCTACGGGACGGCCACTTACTGGACATGCCTGTCAAGGACATCAGCGATGTGCTGCAAACCAACCTAATGGGCAGCATCTACTGCACCAAACTGGCGGCAAACAGTATGCGCCGCCGCCAGATGGCCGGGCATTTGTTTTTCATCAACAGCACCGCTGGCCTTGCCGGTTATAATCCAGGACGGGAGGATCCCAGTTTGAATGTGTACACGCCCAGCAAGTTTGCATTGACCGCCGTTCACGAGATTTGCCGACAGGAACTAATCACACAGAAACAAAAGATCAAGACAACGGTGAGTTTTAGTTGAGACAATACAATTGTTCTATGGTGCAAACAAAAGGCACCTTGTGGACAGACACAAAGAGAGATTCAATAAGTGGAATACATGGGTAAGCCAAGAAGCCAACTAAGAGTATTTCAAATTAAAAGATATCTCAGGTATTTAGCAGAAGTCTAGTTAAGCTAAGAGATCGAATAATTACTGTTGAGCCTGCGATGAAATACATTATACAAGTTTAACAACAATAACCAATAACAAATAACCTTAACAAATTGGAAATCTTTGAAGTATGCGAGGGAATTATCGAATATTCTTATCTAGTAAAGATCTAATAAACATGTATACGTCTTAACGAGATAAACGTATTTGAAGGTATATTGTATAATAGACCTTAAACATATATAAAATCTGAAAATGCTTAAGATTGCGATAACAATCACATACATAATCAACAAATATTTTTATTTAGTTTGTTTTTTGATTAATTTTTTTTTTTGTTTTTTTACAGAGCATCAACCCTGGCTGGGTATCTACTGAGATAGTGCCCGACGAGACAAAAGCACAGCTTGGCGATGTTATCTTACAGGCAAACGATGTAGCTCAAGCAGTAATCTATGCCCTCTCTACCCCGCCGCACGCCCAAGTCCAGGAGATAACGCTTCGTGCAGTTGGAGAATGGTACTGATAAGCGATGTGAAGTTCGCACGTGTTTGCAGTTGTTGCCAGTGTCGATGTCTATTGCTGGCATTAGGGTTGTTCAAGCGATGTTATCAACACATAATAATAATCAAATCAGCGCAACGACTCTCTCTTTCTCTCACTCTACCTATCTATCTCTATCTAGCTATCTCTGTCGCTCACTCTCTGTCTTTCTGTGTATCTTGTCTGTAGTTTTCTGTTGTTTGGGCTTCATTTCGATTTTATTATAATTGTAATGATTATGGTCGCTGTTATTATCGCCCGTTACAGTGCAAGAACAACGCTAAATAAATAATTCTGTTTTATAAAGTAATAACCGACTGTGTTGTAACTGCTATTGGGCCCACAAAGGTGGTGGTATTTCAATTGGTTTGACCTACTGTTACATGTGTAACTGACTCGTTAAGCACACATGTTAATTTTTACAACAAGCTGTCTACTGAATTATTAAACAAGTTCTTACGGCTATTGGGCATGACTTGGTTAAACATTTTCAAATAAATCGCTTAATGATCAATATTATGATAGCGCATTATTAACCTCTACACATTATCAATCGATATCATTGTATTTAACTATATTTTATCAACATAATATACATTCGATATACTGTCGCTGTTAAGCACTGGTCAGGATGTTATTGGGCCATACAACCATGTAAATTGGCAAGACAGTAAAACCAACTTTTTGGATTTCCGACGAATTGTACAATTTTTTTCGCCCGCACAACGGCTCAGTGGAAAACGCAAACTTTAAAAAAAAAGCAAAAAAAAACCTTTAACTGACAGTGGAAAGCTGTCGAGGCAGTCTCTTTTCTACTCCAGTGTGCGCAGGACCCACGTCGGTAACCCTTATCGAAAATTGTGAGTGTGATATGTGTGTGATGGGGAGAGAAAGAGCCTGCTTACAACTTGGCAGTTGCTTTGTTTTTTAAGCAGATGAGGCAGCTGCCTGTCTGTCTGTCGGTCTGTCTGTTTCTCCTTATGTCTTCCTGTCTCCCTGTCTGCCTGTGGCATCCAGTTAGACAACTTTTGTCAGCCGCAGCTTTGCACTTCACTTCCCTCATTTCAGGCATTTTGTTTTAATTAAATTTATAACAAATGTCATATAGGACAAACTTTTGACAACAGTGCCACCCATGACACCCTTGCCACTCCTCGCACTTGACAACCCAAAAGCAAAACCAAAATTGCAACACATGGGGGCAAATTGCACTGGCTCTGGGCAAACATTTCCTTGTATGTCGGGGGCAGGCACTAAAGCTTTCGCATTGCCGCCCAACGCAAGCAACTCAATTTTTAAAATATCTACAAAAATGTTTACTTAAATTGTTAGTTTTACCCATTAATATTAATGATGTAAAGCTCTTAAGTAATAATACGACTTTCTTGGTAGCTAACGCTAAAATGAAACGAAATTATATGAACTAATCCTAATCTCAAACGTGAGTTAAAAATATGTTGCGTGCTAAGGTCTACTTAAGCATATACAAAAAAAAAACACAAATGCAAATAATATAACATCAGAACTATCAATAGAAATCCTTGTTATTCAATTTTAATGAAAATTTGATAGTAAAACTAGAGAGAATGTCTTAAAATATTTAGTAAATATTTAAGGGCAGAGTACAGCAAGGAATTCCTGAATTATGTACTCCCGTCTAAAGCATTTATTCTGTTATTTTATTATTATTATTTTTACTTTTTTGTGGATTTAGAAGAGGCGCTGCTAGTCTTTGACATGGTATACAGTAGAGTACTGCACTTGGCTTGTATTTGGCACATGGCCCGTATTCCTGTGGTCAAGCACAAAGTTCCGTCCAGAATGTTGTTCCATTATGTGTGTGATTGCATTTGTATTTTTCAACAGTTTGGCAGCAGAACAAGCTGCTGGTCAGCAGAGTTGAGTGCAACAAAGCATTTCACTTACGTTGGTTGCCCATAATGCCGGGCTTTGTTGCTACGGCTACGGCTACGGCTACGGCTACGCTTCCTGTTATTGACATCTAAGCAACGTACAACAACATTGCATAACCTACCCAAACATACCTCGAATATCGCGAATGCTATTTCAAATATAGCTACAATGAATGAAACAAGCAGTAAGCAACCGTAGACCGTAGACGAATTGCCAAGCAAAATAGGAATATTGATGTGTAAGTAAACAATAAATGAAAATTTAATTTTTTTGTAAGCAGTAGAAGCACAGAATATCTTAACAGGCTAAACAGAAATACACTTATATACATACATATACATATATATACTTATATATATACACTCGTTCTAAACACATTTGCACATGATGACAACAACAAAAAATTGAGCTTACAATTGCCTAAGATTGATAATGGAATACAGTAAAGCTTTTTGTAGACCTACTCTACAAATCTGGTTGCTTTTAGGCTTAAAATAAACTGTTGACACAGTGTCCACAAAAATGTACCACCCACAATAGAAATCAAGTGACACAAGCAACAAATTTGATTGGAAGCATCAAATTATACAAATGTAGTCAATGTCAACGCAAAAGACTTATGATAAAAAGGAAAACTAATGAAACCGTATTGCATTATGATTCATTCAAATGTTTGCAATAATAAAAGTCAGGATGTGATATCGAAAATTAATCATAAACCATCTAATGTTAAGGTGCTCACTTCCTTAAGCTTTTGTGAAGAACTTGAGCAGGTCGTTTGCCGTATAAAAGTGTTGCATAAGAAATATCCGTTTTTGGAGCAGCTCTCTTTTTGCTTTTGCTGCCACACAATTTAGTCACCAACTAACCAACTGAATGCGCAGTGGCACACTATACGACAGCAACTGGCACTAGATTTGGTAGATTTCCGTAGTGGATTCAATTTTCAAATGTGCACTTTTTTGATTAGATATGGGAATTTTCGGATGCGCCGCTTTCAAATTCGGCCCATTTGAATGCAGGCAAACAGTACTATAAACTAATATTCAAATTATTCCACTCCATTTGCCTTGAACATTTTTGACATTGCGAAATGGGTTTTTCTTTGGCAATCAGAACTGTGTTTTTTTTTTATACAAATTTAAGTGGCAAAGTTTGAGGAAGGAAAGCAGAGAAAATTTCATCTTGGCATCAGTAATCAAGTATAAAATTTAATGAAGCACTGAAGTGCAATTGAAAATTGACTATTTGCTGACGATATTACGACGAAGTACTACATGCAAACTGTGTATGCAGTTGAAATATGTGGAATATTCTTTGAAAAAAAAACCTTGTTCGATTATTTAAGTTTTAATTAATTGATTTTGCTTATATGTAACAAGAAATGCTAGGAAAACAAAATGTCTTTATATCCATATATCTTTAGAAACTCGAATAAAATCAAAAGCAAATAGCTTACTTCCCAAGCTGCATACCAAAGTAATATGCCCAAAAATAACACTCGTAACAAGTCAGTTTCTTTAACGAAAATGTTATTCACACAACACCATTACAGGAAATAGAATGTATTTCAAGTTTGCAGAATTTATCTTCGAAATGGACGGATTGACTGGCAGATGAAGGGAACAACGACATGATGGACGCTACACAAATCCAATATTCCTGGCTACTTTCAGTATCAATAAAAATAAATAAGACTGTCCGAGCTAATTCAAGTGAAATTTCCTTTTTACTCTTGACATGTAACACGAGTGGATAATTCTTATATTTGAGGATGAATGTAATATTCTAACGAAGTTTCGTGCAGACCTTCCCTCAGGGTGTCCAATGAACAGCAATGGCGCGAGAAGTGCATTAATTTACAATTTGATTAGAATGAACAAGTATTTAACAAATTTGATGTCCATCACAATCACGATGTTGGTTATTTTCATTAAAATCATTGCTGTTTCACATTGTAAAATGACGTTAGCCCACAAGCTAAGTGGGCGAAACACACATTTACCAACCCAAGCAAATAGAACATGAAAATTTTATTTAGTGCAAAAGCAAAATGGTGGAGCTTATGAGGGCCCAATAACTTTTTGGCTAGTGTCCATAAAAAGGCTGCCCGTAACTACCTATTAGTCTGTTCTGAGACGGGTAAAGCGTTGTGGTGAAAGCTGTTAATATGGAAGAGTTGTACAAAATCCGAGGAAATGTTGTTTTTTGTATGCATGAACTGTTTAGCGATAATTTATGCCCAGTAAAAGGCATGATTTTGAGTAGGAATTAAATATGCAAAAACGCATGAGCCAGCTTGTCTTAAGGTAATTTGTTTTGATCGATACTATGGATAAAATGAAATAAACTTATCTAAGGATGGTACGCGACAGCAAATATTCGAAACTTAAAGTATCCAGCTCTTAAAGTCTCCGGGACGAATATTAAAAAAATATAAGGGCAGTAGCCAATATGCAAGAATTAAAATAAAACAATAGAAGTGAAAGAAAAGTGAAACATATGCATATAAATTGAGCTGTTGCGAAAAGAAATAAATTGGAACGGTGCAGATCACAATGGCATCGATACAATAAAACTAACACTGTGCAAAACAATGCGCATTGAATATTTGGGAAAAGATTCAAAAGTGAACTAAAGATTCAAATCCCATTGTGCTTAGGAAAATATGAAGTTAACCGCTTACATTTGAACTGTCATATTTAAATGTATTTCCTAACCAGAAACCATTTCAATGCAATCATATCAACACTCTGATGTTGGCCAGCAGCTATTGAAACAGCAGGTTGCCACACGCACACACACAAGCACTTATAAAAAATGTTGGAGGTGTAAATGGAGAAAGATGGCGGAAAAGCAGAAAGCGAAAGAAAACGCAGCAGGTGTTGTTGCCTAACGACTGAGCTTCCGTTTCCGCAACTGTGTGGCGCCTGCAGTCAGCTAGACAATGTCGTCATCTTTTATATAATACATTTTGCAATGCTATTAGTAAGGGGTCGACTTTTGTTGCTGTTGCTGTTGCTGTGGCTGCTGTTGCTGCTGCTGTTGCTGCTGTTGCTGTTGTTCCTGCTGTTGCTGTTGTTGCTGCAGTTTGGCGCATTCCGTTCGCTGTCACACTTTTTGTTTGCTTTTGCGTGCTTTGTTGCCGCAATTGCTGCAGTTATAGGAAAATATATGCATTCATATATGGAATACAGTTTGTTTCACAAAGAAAGCATTGCTTCATCATTTTGAAGATGACTTTCGACATTATGCACTCGCTTGTCTTGCGCGCTGTTATTAAAAAGTGCGTAAACGCCGCATTGTGCACAAATGTAATCAACATTACACATAAGCCAACCCGTCACCTCATCTCTGAGGCAGCTCGTTAAATCGAAAAACGCAGCAAGCTATTCA